AAAGTATGTTATATCGACCTTGAGCGATGGGCGAGGCCCCACCCTTCCACGACACAGGGCCAGCTGTGATCACTCTGCCAGCCACAATAGTCGTGTTGATCTCCGTCTGAGGCACGCAGTCCGGACTCCAAGAAGCTATTAGCGGTGTTGGTAAGACACACAAATTATACCAAGCAAGGGAATGATTGCCTGTACTATGTACACACACACACACACACACACACACACACACACACACACACACACACACACACACACACACACACACACACACACACGCACACACCACACCACACACACACACACACACGCACACACACACACACACACACACACACACACACACACACACACACACACACACACACACACACACACACACACACACACACACACACACACACACACACACACACACACACACACACACACACACACACACACACACACACACCTTAGGAAGTGATGTGGTGGAGGCTGACTCCATACACAGTTTCAAGTTAGATATGATAAGCCCAGTAGGCTCAGGAACCTGTACACCAGTTGATTGACAGTTGAGAGGCGAGACCAAAGACCCAGAGCTCAACCCCCGCAAGCACAATTAGGTGAGTACACACACACACACACACACACACACACACACACACACACACACACACATCTCTGTCCAAAGATGGAGGTCAGACGTTTAGAACCAGCCTCACCCAAATTTGCCTGCGGAATGGTCTAGGGTACGGGACGGACATAGGCTGGTCGGAGGCCTAAGATAAATACTTTAAGAAATATTAGTCACAATAAAGACGCCATTTTCAAAGTCAAAAGTGACAGGTGTGGAATATGACGTGTGTTTAACGTGGAGTTGGTAGCACCATCAGCTGCACACATGTACACACACATGCACACACACACACATGCACACACATGCACACACACACACACATGCACACACACACACACATGCACCTAAATGTGTTAGTGAGGGGACGATGGTGGAAGAGGGGTGGAAAGGGAAGTAGGGGAGAAAAGACAAACTGTCCCCGGGAACCGCCGGGTACCCCTCCCAGCATATGTATATGCATTCTTCCTTTGATACTCCATCGCTCACTATTATCTCCCTCTGTTCTCTCTCTCTCTCTCTCTCTCTCTCTCTCTCTCTCTCTCTCTCTCTCTCTCTCTCTCTCCCTTATCCTCTTGCCTCTAATATAAAGAACCATCTTATGCTAATTGCCTGTCTATCTAAGCACCGCATGTTTCTCAACTGCACCTGATTTTTTTTGCAAGTAGAGGAGAATTAAGGGAAAAATAAATATGAAAATGGTAGATTACTTAAAATTGACCTGACACCAGACTGATGCACAGCTCGTATAACCTGGACGCTAAATTGGTTATACCAACACTGAGGGATATGCGTGCACACGAACACATCCAGGAAACACGCACACACACGCACACGTATGCACACGCGCCTGAAACGAGCCATTTCACAAAGAAGAGGACACAAGATTCAAGCTAAGGAAACAAAGGGGCCGAAACATATATTAGAAAGTTTTCTTTGGGGCAAAGAGAGAGTGGTATAGATGGTTGGAACAAGCTAAGTGAGAAGGTGGTGGAGGCCAAAATTGACTAGTTTCAAAGCGTTATACGACAAAGAGTACTGGGAAGACGGGACACCACGAGCGTAGTTCTCATCCTGTAACTACACTTAGGATAACTACACACACACACACACACACACACACACACACACACACACACACACACACACACACACACACACACACACACACACACACACACACACACACATAGGCGGGACCAAAGAGCCAAAGCTCAACCCCCGCAAGCACAAATAGGTGAGTACATACTATAATTAAGGAAAAAAGTAGCCATGAGGAGAAAGCGCCAAGCCGTTACGACTATATAGCACTTGGAAGGGGTCAGGATAAGGATTTAGGATGAAACAGAGGGATATAATTAGGCAAATCGTGACCATCTGGGCTGGTAGATGGTCCGACAGATGGTCCAATTATCATACTAGGCACACAGGTGGTGGTGGCAGATGGTGTGGGCATCGAACCCCGCTCATAGGTGGTCGTGACCTAACCAGCAAGTCACGAACCATTTAATGAGATGCAAAAATAAAATAGAAATGAAGGTGGTTGTTATTTCAAACTGTTATGTTCTTGAATTGTCTTGTACTGATAAGGTGTTTGGTTTAATTACACAATTCGTCGTCAGGACAATGTTAACCCTAGTTTGGTTTGTGTGTGTGTTTGTACTCACCTATTTGTGCTTGCGGGGGTTGAGCTCTGGCTCATTGGTCCCGCCTTTCAACTGTCAATCAACTGGTGTACAGGTTCCTGAGCCTACTGGGCTCTATCATATCTACATTTGAAACTGTGTATGGAGTCAGCCTCCACCACATCACTGCCTAATGCATTCCATCCGTTAACTACTCTGACACTGAAAAAGTTCCTTCTAACGTCCCTGTGGCTCATGTGGGTACTCAGTTTCCACCTGTGTCCCCTTGTTCGCGTCCCACAAGTGTTGAATAGTTTATCCTTGTCTACCCGGTCGATTCCCCTGAGGATTTTGTAAGTTGTGATGTGTGTACTCACCTAATTGTGCTGGCGGGGGTTGAGCTTTGGCTCTCTGGGCCCGCCTCTCAACTGTCAATCAACTGGTGTGCAGATTCCTGAACCTGTGTGTGTGATTCCTGAACATATACTCAAGACTTAAATATGTACTCCTAGTACATATATATATATATATATATATATATATATATATATATATATATATATATATATATATATATATATATATATATATATATATATATATATACGCTTTTAGTACAAACCTCTTGGTCGCTACCCCTTTCACTCTGGAGTACCAGGCACTGCTACAAGACTGGTGGTCAGTCCTACCATAACACATCTCCAGAGGACAGCGTCTGGGATCCTCTCTGACGGAGGTTCGAGCCCTCGTCACGGCCCTTGTGAATTTGTTCATCTCCAGAGGAGTATATTTGAGGAAAAATGACTGAGAGTTGAGCTATGTTTATTACACACAGAGATCACACTAACGTGAAGCCTCAAATGAACAAATCCACAAGGGCCGTGACGAGGATTCGAACCTGCGTCCGGGAGCATCCCAGACACTGCCTTAAGTGTCTGGGATGAGCTATGTATAACCTTCTCTCGAGAGGCAAGACACATAGAGACACGTATCATACGGACACATACTGTCCTCGCGACATGAAAAATGATCCATGTGTCCATGTAGAATGAACATTAGATCTCAGAAAATAATTTTTTTGGTGATAAATTATAGATAAATATCGTATTCCTTTACATCGTTTGAGGATTCGTAAGGTCAATATATATTGGTTAGATAAGCATGTAGTAAATAATATTACTGAAATATACTCTTTGATACGTTTTAAACCTCATGCTCCGGAAATTCAAGAGATATCGGCGTCTCTGAAATCGTAATGTTATGGGTTAGACAAGATATCACAAGTGCTATAGTATCTTAGGAGTCGTGATATCACGCGAGGGATATCCTACAGCATCGTAACTTCATCTAAGGAGGGCATGTAGCCACCTTGAGGGAGCCGGTCGGCCGAGCGGACAGCTCGCTGGACTTGTGATCCTGTGGTCCCGGGTTCGATCCCGGGCGCCGGCGAGAAACAATGGGCAGAGTTTCTTTCACCCTATGCCCCTGTTATCTAGCAGTAAAATAGGTACCTGGGTGTTAGTCAGCTGTCACGGGCTGCTTCCTGGGGGTGGAGGCCTGGTCGAGGACCGGGCCGCGGGGACACTAAAGCCCCGAAATCATCTCAAGATAACCTCAAGATGATAATTCCTGCGTTACTACCATCAACCAAATTATCATCGATCAAGCGATCGATGATAATCGATCACACATCGTATTGGGTGAAATTTCAACATGTAAAATTTAACTATTGGTACTAATTATGATTGTTCGGGCACAAGGCATCAATCAAGCATTATCATCTAACCTCTTAATAACAGGTTACTGCTGACTGTCGATCGCTCGGAGAGATATAAGGGTTTCAACTCCCTGCCAAGTATTAAGCAGGTTCTCATAATACTGTGTGCTCATTCGAGTGGGTGCGGCTACGTCAAGCTTTACAGAGACGTTGGTGCGTCAAGCCTTACAGAGACGTTGTTGCGTCAAGCTTTACAGAGACGTTGTTGCGTCAAGCCTTACAGAGACGTTGTTGCGTCAAGCTTTACAGAGACGTTGGTGCGTCAAGCCTTACAGAGACGTTGTTGCGTCAAGCTTTACAGAGACGTTGTTGCGTCAAGCTTTACAGAGACGTTGTTGCGTCAAGCTTTACAGAGACGTTGTTGCGTCAAGCTTTACAGAGACGTTGTTGCGTCAAGCTTTACAGAGACGTTGTTGCGTCAAGCTTTACAGAGACGTTGTTGCGTCAAGCTTTACAGAGACGTTGTTGCGTCAAGCTTTACAGAGACGTTGTTGCGTCAAGCTTTACAGAGACGTTGTTGCGTCAAGCCTTACATAGACGTTGTTGCGTCAAGCTTTACAGAGACGTTGTTGCGTCAAGCTTTACAGAGACGTTACTGCGTCAAACAACACACAGACGTTACTGCGTCAAACAACACAGACGTTACTGCGTCAAACAACACAGACGTTACTGCGTCAAACACAACACAGACGTTACTGCGTCAAACAACACAGACGTTACTGCGTCAAACAACACACAGACGTTACTGCGTCAAACAACACAGACGTTACTGCGTCAAACAACACAGACGTTACTGCGTCAAACAACACAGACGTTTCTGTGTCAACATATAATTGGCAATTGAGATAAATATTCAGTACAAATTCTTGTCAAACCTATTGGGCACACGTTTATCCGGCGTCACAAGGCAGTCTGCCGCCGGCTTGTCAAAGCAAGACGGTGCTTAGCATCTTCATCTCCTTCACCTTTACTGCTTTGAAGGATGTTCCAGAGGTCGCTCAAGCAGATCACAAGGCGGTCAAACAGACCACAAGGCGGTCAAGCAGACCACAAGGCGGTCAAGCAGACCACAAGGCGGTCAAACAGACCACAAGACGGTCAAACAGACCACAAGACGGTCAAACAGACCACAAGACGGTCAAACAGACCACAAGACGGTCAAACAGACCACAAGACGGCCAAGCAGACCACAAGGCGGTCAAACAGACCACAAGGCGGCCAAACAGACCACAAGGCGGTCAAACAGACCACAAGGCGGCCAAACAGACCACAAGGCGGCCAAACAGACCACAAGGCGGTCAAACAGACCACAAGGCGGCCAAACAGACCACAAGGCGGTCAAACAGACCACAAGGCGGTCAAACAGACCACAAGGCGGTCAAACAGACCACAAGGCGGCCAAACAGACCACAAGGCGGCCAAACAGACCACAAGGCGGCCAAACAGACCACAAGGCGGCCAAACAGACCACAAGGCGGCCAAACAGACCACAAGGCGGCCAAACAGACCACAAGGCGGTCAAACAGACCACAAGGCGGTCAAACAGACCACAAGGCGGTCAAACAGACCACAAGGCGGCCAAACAGACCACAAGGCGGCCAAACAGACCACAAGGCGGCCAAACAGACCACAAGGCGGCCAAACAGACCACAAGGCGGTCAAACAGACCACAAGGCGGTCAAACAGACCACAAAGCGGTCAAACAGACCACAAGGCGGCCAAACAGACCACAAGGCGGCCAAACAGACCACAAGGCGGCCAAACAGACCACAAGGCGGCCAAACAGACCACAAGGCGGCCAAACAGACCACAAGGCGGCCAAACAGACCACAAGGCGGCCAAACAGACCACAAGGCGGTCAAACAGACCACAAGGCGGTCAAACAGACCACAAGGCGGTCAAACAGACCACAAGGCGGTCAAACAGACCACAAGGCGGCCAAACAGACCACAAGGCGGCCAAACAGACCACAAGGCGGTCAAGCAGACCACAAGGCGGTCAAGCAGACCACAAGGCGGTCAAGCAGACCACAAGGCGGTCAAACAGACCACAAGGCGGTCAAGCAGACCACAAGGCGGTCAAGCAGACCACAAGGCGGCCAAACAGACCACAAGGCGGTCAAGCAGACCACAAGGCGGTCAAGCAGACCACAAGGCGGTCAAGCAGACCACAAGGCGGTCAAGCAGACCACAAGGCGGTCAAGCAGACCACAAGGCGGCCAAGCAGACCACAAGGCGGTCAAGCAGACCACAAGGCGGCCAAGCAGACCACAAGGCGGCCAAACAGACCACAAGGCGGCCAAGCAGACCACAAGGCGGCCAAACAGACCACAAGGCGGTCAAACAGACCACAAGACGGTCAAACAGACCACAAGGCGGCCAAACAGACCACAAGGCGGTCAAACAGACCACAAGACGGTCAAACAGACCACAAGACGGTCAAACAGACCACAAGGCGGTCAAACAGACCACAAGACGGTCAAACAGACCACAAGACGGTCAAACAGACCACAAGGCGGTCAAACAGACCACAAGACGGTCAAACAGACCACAAGGCGGTCAAGCAGACCACAAGGCGGTCAAACAGACCACAAGGCGGTCAAGCAGACCACAAGGCGGTCAAGCAGACCACAAGACGGTCAAGCAGACATTTCAACTCTCCGGAACACTGCGCAAATTTAAAGAAACAAATAGCAGCTCAAAGATCACCTTTTAACTGAATTATTAAAAATAAAACGAATTCTAGAACAATTCTCCTTTTTCCTGTCCGTGTTTTCATGTCTTTTTCCTGTCCGTGTTTTCATGTCTTTTTCCTGTCCGTGTTTTCATGTCTTTTTCCTGTCCGTGTTTTCATGTCTTTTTCCTGTCCGTGTTTTCATGTCTTTTTCATGTCCGTGTTTTCATGTCTTTTTCATGTCCGTGTCCGTTGTTATCAACGCTTGATAACTTGTAAGTTATCAAGCATTGAGCTCTGATTCCTAGGCCTAAGGGAATCCCACTGGTCCCCTTAGGCCTTTCACTACCAGTTTTCCCTGGAACAGAATCCGCCAAACGCCTTACAACCAGGGCTGCCATCTCTGCTGCTATGGGGGTCCAATTAAGGATATGAACGCGTAGGTCTTTCCCTGCCCCAGGAGTCGAACCCCGGTCGATATTATAGGTGAGACAGGAGGAAAATACGCTATTGCTGCAGGCAGAGGGACTTACTTAGTCTTAGGACTTAGAAGTCCCATACTACCACGTATGGGACTTCTCCCATACGTGGCAGTTCAAGACTAATATCTGGAATCTTACACAAGTCGATTAAAGGGTATGAGGCGGGGCCCAAGAGCCGAGGCTCATCCCTCACAAGTATAACTAGGTGAGTGCATGGTCAATACGCCTAAAAAGGCCTATATAGGCGATTAGAATCTATGTATAATGTTATATATATAATGGTATATATGTAATGTAATATGTATAATGGCCATTAATGTAATTGAGAGTATTTTAAGTATACCGTAGTCATGAATATTGGTCAAGACTTGTATACTTGTATACTTGTATACTTGTATACTTGCTGGTGGGTCAGTAAGGTGTTGTGGCGGCCTTAACAACCCTCCAGAATATAATAGGACTCAAGCCTCAAACTCAACAAAATTCTTGTAGTTGTCTTCCGTATTTCATCCTTTTGACGCGTGTCAGTAGATAGGACGAGTTGCTGGCTGCTTGTACATCACCTCCACCACAAGTCTACAAGCTGCGCCAGCGGTGCTGCGCGCGTGACTGGCCAAGCTGCGCCAGTGGTGATGCGCGAGTGACTGGCCAAGCTGCGCCAGTGGTGATGCGCGCGTGACTGGCCAAGCTGCGCCAGTGGTGATGCGCGCGTGACTGGCCAAGCTGCGCCAGTGGTGATGCGCGAGTGACTGGCCAAGCTGCGCCAGTGGTGATGCGCGAGTGACTGGCCAAGCTGCGCCAGTGGTGATGCGCGAGTGACTGGCCAAGTTGCGCCAGTGGTGATGCGCGCGCGTCTAGCCAAGCTGCGCCAGCGGTGCTGCGCGCATGACTGGCCAAGCTGCGCCAGTGGTGATGCGCGCGCGTCTAGCCAAGCTGCGCCGGCGGTACTGCGCGCGTGACTGGCCAAGCTGCGCCAGCGGTACTGCGCGCGTCTAGCCAAGCTGCGCCGGCGGTACTGCGCGCGCGTCTAGCCAAGCTGCGCCGGCGGTACTGCGCGCGTCTAGCCAAGCTGCGCCGGCGGTACTGCGCGGGCGTCTAGCTATAACGCGCTCCCAGTTACAGAGGCGATCATTTTAAACCTGACATTTATCTCCCCTTGAGTTTGTGAGACAATAAATGTCTGGTATTTATGTCTTGAGTGATTGTGACGGTCGGTAAGTTGGGCATTATGCTTACTAGAATCTCGGTCAACATGGCTGTTGGGTCAGTCTTTGACAGAGATACGATGCCATCAGCTGAATTGGAAGATGTTGAGCTATTAATACTGATAGCGTAATTGTTCAGTACACGTATGGTCGACAAATTGGGGGTTACGGCAGTTCGTGAGATTCTGATCTGGGAATGTGTGTGTGTGTGTGTGTGTGTGTGTGTGTGTGTAAATCACGAACAAATTAACACGTGACGAACAACGTAACAATGTCAGACCAAGAAGGAAGGATTAAGACAGAAATTTCCTTAAGTACTTTCGTATTTAATAATTCATCTTCATACGGATCATCTTTCTGAAGATGTATTATTAAATACGAAAATATTTCTGGAATTTCCTGTCTTAATCCTTCCTTCGTGGTCTGGCACTGTCATATATATATATATATATATATATATATATATATATATATATATATATATTATTAAATATGACCGAAAAAGTAAGATTAATAATTCTAACACGAATTTTCTCAATCTTTCGTACATTACGCTTCACTGTTGGAGGTAAATCAAAAATCACTTCTCCAAAATTCATTTTTATTTTTAGTCTGACGCGACACGGGCGCGTTTCGTAAAACTTATTACATTTTCAAAGACTTCACAAATACACAACTGATTAGAACTTGCGTTTCCCTGATTTTATATCTACATTTGAGTGAGGTGGGAAGGGTGATGTGGCATTACATTTGAGTGAGGTGGGAAGGGTGATGTGGCATTAACACAAGACAGAACACTAGGGGATATTAATAGGGTATTAAAAGTATCAACACAAGACAGAACAGAAACAATGGGTATTGAATAGAAGTGTTTGTAGAAAGCCTATTGGTCCATATTTCTTGATGCTTCTATATTGGAGCGGAGTCTTGAGGTGGGTAGAATATAGTTGTGCAATAATTGGCTGTTGATTGCTGGTGTTGACTTCTTGATGTGTAGTGCCTCGCAAACGTCAAGCCGTCTGCTATCGCTGTATCTATCGATGATTTCTGTGTTGTTTACTAGGATTTCTCTGGCGATGGTTTGGTTATGGGAAGAGATTATATGTTCCTTAATGGAGCCCTGTTGTTTATGCATCGTTAAACGCCTAGAAAGAGATGTTGTTGTCTTGCCTATATACTGGGTTTTTTGGAGCTTACAGTCCCCAAGTGGGCATTTGAAGGCATAGACGACGTTAGTCTCTTTTAAAGCGTTCTGTTTGTGTCTGGAGAGTTTCTCATGAGTAGGCTGGCCGTTTTTCTGGTTTTATAGTAAATCGTCAGTTGTATCCTCTGATTTTTGTCTGTAGGGATAACGTTTCTATTAACAATATCTTTCAGGACCCTTTCCTCTGTTTTATGAGCTGTGGAAAAGAAGTTCCTGTAAAATAGTCTAATAGGGGGTATAGGTGTTGTGTTAGTTGTCTCTTCGGAGGTTGCATGGCTTTTCACTTTCCTTCTTATGATGTCTTCGATGAAACCATTGGAGAAGCCGTTATTGACTAGGACCTGCCTTACCCTACAGAGTTCTTCGTCGACTTGCTTCCATTCTGAGCTGTGGCTGAGAGCACGGTCGACGTATGCGTTAACAACACTCCTCTTGTACCTGTCAGGGCAGTCGCTGTTGGCATTTAGGCACATTCCTATGTTTGATTCCTTTGTGTAGACTGCAGTGTGGAAACCTCCGCCCTTTTCCATGACTGTTACATCTAGAAAAGGCAGCTTCCCATCCTTTTCCGTCTCGTAAGTGAAACGCAGCACGGAACTCTGCTCAAATGCCTCCTTCAGCTCCTGCAGATGTCTGACATCAGGTACCTGTGTAAAAATGTCGTCAACATACCTGCAGTATATGGCCGGTTTCAAGTTCATGTCGACTAAGACTTTTTGCTCGATGGTACCCATGTAGAAGTTTGCAAACAGGACACCTAGGGGAGAACCCATGGCGACCCCATCTACTTGCTTATACATGTGCCCATCCGGGCTCAAGAAGGGTGCCTCTTTAGTACAAGCTTGGAGTAGTTTCCTCAGAATACTTTCTGGCACGTCAAGAGGAGTACAGGCTGGATCACGATACACTCTGTCGGCTATCATTCCGATTGTCTCGTCCACAGGTACGTTGGTAACAATCACCGAGGATCCCTATATGTAGCGACAACACCGTTTTCATATTTTGAGTGGCACTCACAATACATTTTCAGGCACCTTGCTCTAGGAATTGTCTGTGGAGGATCCCTGTATATGGCGATCACCGAGGATCCCTATATGTAGCGACAACACCGTTTTCATATTTTGAGTGGCACTCACAATACATTTTCACGCCCCTTGCTCCGTCTGCACACCTACGTATATACATAGATAGTGGTCGTAAATTTCTCCACTCTGACATCGACGCTGCAACACAGAAATTGGATTTTGTCTGTTAATCGCATCTTGTTAGAGAGACTTATAACGGATGAGTCTTTTATTCTCCTTCTTATCTATTTTATCTCTTATCACTGACGACTGCGAAAATCTCATTTGCATATTGGCAACATGTATTGTACTTGCAGTAATCTTTGCTCTAAATTTCGTAAGTAATAATATGAAAAAAGAAGGATTCAGCAGATATTTCAATACCTTAAGAACAACAAAAAGCTGTCTTAGAGGTGTACTGAGACCCTCTCTACTGTCATCTTGTGGTTATCTTGAGATGATTTCGGGGCTTTAGTGTCCCCGCGGCCCGGTCCTCGACCAGGCCTCCACTCCCAGAAAGCAGCCCGTGACAGCTGACTAACACCCAGTTACCTATTTACTGCTAGGTAACAGGGGCATCAGGGTGAAAGGAACTCTGCCCATTGTTTCTCGCCGGCGCCCGGGATCAAACCCGGGACCACAGGATCACGCGTCCAGTGTTCTGTCCGCTCAGCCACCGGCTCCCTTGTTGTTGTAAATTAAACAAATTTCGGTCCGTCCTGGACCATTCACAATCGACTTGAGAATGGTCCAGGACGGACCGAAACGTCGTCGTCCCTTCACCTTCTAGTGTGTGGTCTGGTCAACATATTTCAGCCACGTTATTGTGACTCCTCGCCTACACCTCTAATATTGATATTTATGATTCACTGGCAAGGAGAATTGAGAAATGGCTACTGGAATTTAACAGCATTAAGTGTAAGGAAATGGAGGATCACTTCCATAAAACCCAGCAGCTGGAAGACAGCAAATGTACCAATATACAAGAAATAACATTGTATGTTTAGCAGTGTTACTGATTTCCTGCAAAATGGAAAGAAAAATGCGGTTACGACTGGTAGAACATTTAAACATAATTATATTTGTCAACA